GGAATAAGGGCAAGTAAGGGAGGTGTGTGTTGGGAGATGGGAGGAACAAAGGGCAATCATACTTAGTTTTGCTGCAAAAAGTATCTTCTAGTTCAGCTGGAATTGGTGTTGTTTTGTGTGGCATCTGTATTTAGTCCCAGGAAAGCCTTGCGAAGAGAGTAAGAAACTAAGTATGAGATTTGTATAGGTATAATTTGCATTTGAGGAGGTACCTTGAGTTGTCCATTGCGGAAGATGAAACTGGCAAAAGAAGAACTGAAGGATGTTGTACAACCGTAAATAAGCCTATTCTAATTCTTTCTAATAGAATTACATGTATGTAAGATTCATGGTGGGTGTTTTTTTTTTACTAATATTTAGCAGTTATATATTGGTTCTTGAAAAGATTTTGGTATATTCTGTATATAAAGTCAAGGATAGGAATGGCTTCAGTGAAGCTGTTCTAATATTGTCTTAGGTGACACTAATTCATAGGAAAAAGAAACATAGGGACTTTTTGTTTCCAGGGTCTCTTTATTTTGTTAGTTTAATCTTGGTTAAAAAACCTTGAGGTTAAATTTCTTTGCAGTTATTAGTAACCCTAGAAGATTGGTTGTCCGGTTGTTAAAGAATCAAACCTTTACAGGGGAAAAGATGCATGTTTTTTCTGCAGCTGTATACTGATGTGCAGTCCTTTTTCTTAGAGCAAAGGTAGTTCATTAAATTGTTGCTGATAGGGGAATGCACTTACTCATATCGTAGACTGAATAATTTAGCATCTTTGGGAAATGCAAACTGAAATAAAACCTGGGGTTAACTAACTGGAATATGTGTAGAGACTATAGGAGGCTGAAATGAGAAATTTATATGTGGGGTGGGGAGAGATCTCAAATGCTTCTCCTCGTACTGTTGTGCTTCACACCATGCTAAAGCTTGTTTTGAGAGAAAAATCATTTTACTGCAATGAAGGAATTATGCTGTACCTGTACTCTTCGCAAGCCTCTGGAGCAGGCTTTCACCACTCCCTGTCAGAACAGGAGTAACATAATGGGGTATTACCTCTATTGTAAGAAGTTGGATAATATATCTATTTTTGCTAGGTTTTTTTCTTTTCCTTTTAAATGTGAGATTGACTTACGAAAATTTTTTTAGTAGTTACTGAATTCTATAATAGCCAATCCTGATTAACTAATCCTGATTTATATGCCAAAATATTAACCTAAAGGAAGTTTTGACTTTTTATTGGACAAAATACTGCTGTTCCGTTGTAGTTGTGCATAAGAGTATTGAAAGCATCATTGATTTTGGTTGTGGTATTTGGAAGTGAAGGGAGAGTTGCTAAGTTTTCAGTTATACTCACTTTTAAGTGTTGCTTATGTGGTATTTGTGTGGTTCTTCAGGATTAGCTTTGGTATCAGGTGAAAGCATTAAAGTTTGGGTGGGCAATCCAAAGAATGTCATTAAAATTTTGTAGTTGGTCTTAACTCTATGGGAAACACACATAGAAGTAGATTAATTTTGTGGATAAAGTTTTTTTTAATAAACATTGGGGAATGTTAATTTCTTTTTCTCTTGAGGGTTCATATTGTTGTCTTAAAAATATTACTGGTAGAATTTGTAGCTATATTAAATATGCTGCCTTTCAGAAACAGGGTGTTGTCAAAGCATCGTGAGCATAATTGTAGAAATACAGTTTTGTTAGGCTCGTTTCTTTAGTATTATATGCAAAAGTGACAGGCATCATCTATAACATTGCTATTTAAACAAATTTTGACAGAACTGGGGGGGGAAAAGTAATAAATATCCTGCAGTAGGT